GGACATACATTTATAAATGGTATAAATTCTTGTGGTACTATAGATGGTATCAATACTACCCTTAGACTGAGGGAAGAGGGGCCCCTGACTTTGTCCTAATGCTTTACAAGGTCCCACATTTCATAGATACCCACAAAAAATGTAAATTTTTAAAAGAAGACACGACATCTCTGCTGCTCAGAATCTGCTTCTTAATCCCTGCAGAGCAGGATTTGCACAACCTCAACATCCATCCCAGGGGAAATGCATCTCTGTGTCTCACCTTCTTCGTTCAGAGAGGAAAGCGCAAGTTTCTGTGTTGGGAGGGTGCTGATTTGAGAGACACACACCGGGTTTGGAGTGCAGGGAGGAGCTCTGCAACAGAAGTGGTTAGATTAGAGAAAAGGCAAATTTATCCATCTGCTCAAAGCTTTCCTCTTAGCCCAAATGAAGAATTATTTTCCAGTGCATTAGTACTGGCTGCCTCTCTCCTGGCTTCTCTTCTTATTCTAATTCCTGGCTCAAGAAGTACTCATGAATCCATACAGTATTCGCAACAGTTGCATATGGTGGTCAAATAACATTCTGCAAATTAAGAAATGCACAGTCCTCTTTTTTTTTTTTTAAGATTTTATTTATTTATTTGAGAGGGAGAGAGAGAGAGAGAATGAGAGGAGAGATGTCAGCGGGAGAAGCAGACTCCCCGCTGAGCAGGGAGCCCGATGTGGGACTCGATCCCAGGACTCCAGGATCATGACCTGAGCCGAAGGCAGTCGCTTAACCAACTGAGCCACCCAGGCGCCCCTGCACAGTCCTCTTATATCTGTAAGCACGTAGATTTAGATTTCTACACTAAGCCAAACTTTCCTTCTGCATTTGGACTCTTCTTTGGAGCCAACTTGCCCATGAATGGTTGTTCGGTACCAGTGTTTAAAGATAAAATGATACAGGACTAGATTTTCATACCCATACATACCCAGACAACAGAGTACGGGAGTTGTCCAACCTGTCTTTTGAATACAAAGGCAGTAACAGCATTTTAAATGCTAGTAATAAGAAGGGTACAATACAATGAAAACGAACCTAGAGGTTAAAATAGAAGGCAACAGAAGAGCTGGCTTTCTTTATGTTCATCTGGAACAAGAGTCTGTTCATAAGTCGAATCTGCTTTTTGGCTATTATGATTTTTTAATAGTTACATTGAAATATAATCTATATGCTGTGCAGTTCACCCACGTAAAGGGTCCAATTCAGTAGCTTTCAGCGTTTCACAGAGCTGTGCAACCATCACCACAGTAAGTTTTAGAAGATTCCCATCACTCCCAAAACGCAATTCCACACCCCTTTCCTGACACCTGTGATCCTGCCACTCACCCCAGCCCCAGGCGACCCCTGTCTACTGTCTCTCTCTGTATTTGCCTTCTCTGAGCTTTTCATATCCATAGACCTTTTGTGGTTGGCTCTTTCATTTAGCATAATGTTTTCGAGGTTCTTCTATATTGTAACGTGTATCAGTGCTACATTTCTTTGGAATAAATGCAGTAAGTACTACACTTATTTGTACTGCTGAGTAATATTCCACTGGGGGAATATCTCTTACTTAATAGGTCAACTCATCGGTCGATGAATCTGCTTTTTGGCTATTTTGAATAATGCTGCTATGAACACTCATATACAAGTTGATGGGAACGTGTTTTCCTTTCTCTTGGGTATATTCCTAGGAGTGGAATCGCTGGGCTGTACGGTAGCACCACGTTTAACATTCCAGGAGCTGCTGAACTGTTGTCAGAGTCGCTGAACTGTGTTACATGAAGGATTTTAGTTTCCCTCTTGCAGCGTCCCAGGAAGGTACAGATCCCAGCAAGAAGGAGTTGCACTGTAAACCACAGGAAAATAGCTTAATTATTAGTCAAACTACATGACTCCCTTCCCAAAACTAGGTGGTGGAGGAAATGGTGGAGGAAAGGCGGTGGGGGGGGGATCCAGGAACACGTGGTCTCTGGGTGGAACCCACATTGCCCAGGTTGGCCTCTGAGGTTGATTGTGTACATGTGACGCTGGGCACAGATTATGAAAGTCACTTGGCAGGAAGTAGGAAGAAAGATAAACAGTGACCGTGACTCGAGGTCTGCTGCCCCTGGGGACTGTGTCTGAGCTCTGTGGTAAAAGGGTCTATGGGCAGGAGCTGAGGAATGTCTCACAGAGGACTCCGAGGCTGGCAAATCAGTACTCAGTGCCACTTGGCACCCAGCCAGATGTGAGAAATTCTCCTCACTCTCTCATGGGCACTGACATATTTGAGACCATCTTTGCCGGGGCATCAGGACTCTCAAGGTGGCAATCAGATGTAGAGAATGATGAGACATTTTGAAGCAGTTTTGTGGGCGGAGGACATTAGTGTGTAGGGGTGCCAAGCCTGCACGTAACAGATGTGATCGGGTCATTCTGACCGACTTGTTCATCAACACGCCTACCAGGGGCTTATTTTTTCCTGGGTGGGTATCTGAGGGGAGTCAAATGTCGTGCACTGAAAAATGGCTAAGAGGCTAAGAGCCCAGGAATGACGGGTCATCCCAGTTAACGTGGATCTATTCATTGTTCCTGGATAGAAAGATTTCAGGAGACTTGGGCTATAAACACAATTTTGTTTATTATTTTCTAATCATTTTTGTGGGCTTTAAGTCCTCAAATAAAAACTGAGTGTACTATGTCGTCTGTCTCCTCCCTATTCTTTCCACCTTTTTCCTTTCAGGAACCTCTTCTAGCAAGGGTTTTGCTGCATGGGCAAGATTGTGTACAGCTGGGCAGACTTCTTCAGCTCTCTACAGGGGCCAGGTGGTCCTCTCTCAAGGTCAGCGTACCTGCCCCTCTTACCTTCCACTCAGAATACCCCGGTTTTCCTCCCCAGGCACCAGAGCCCAGAATAAGGAAGCTAAATCTTTCCCTAAGACATACGCTTGTCCCATTCGGTCCGATGGGATGAGTTTACCTTTGCAGGTGGTGTGAATCATATTTTCCATAGACAATTCTCAGAAAGTGTGAGAGACTTCAGGGCTATTTGTCTCTTTCTATTTTCTGACTAATAGGAAAAAAACTCTCCAACATGCATTTGGATTGCCTCCAGAATGGGGCAGATAACAGAATGGGTGACACTGCCTCATTCTCACAATGGAGGTCAGGATGCAGATGGAAACACATGGTGTTAATAAGGCCTAACAGAGAGAAGAGAAGCAGCCCGCCCATTCTCAGTGTGGGGGCGGGGGTTCGTGCACGTGAGGGTGCATGGTCCTGGGTGTCAGGGCGTAAGCTAGAGTCCTGGATTCCTAAGGCTTAGGGGAAAAAAAGTCTGTTCCATTCAGTGGTTATAATGCTAGACCGGTCTGGGTTATATGGAGGCAGTTTGCAACCAATATAATGTTTCATTAATTAGTAGCTGGGTCCACAAGACTCACGGTGCAGCGGAATTTCAAACACAAAAACAAAACCAAGAACACTCTTTTATGTTCCATCACCTCCAAGTTATTTATTCATTAAATCTGTGGCTTTTTCCAGGAATCCATACTATGCATCAATTTATTGAAATACATTTCACATACAATACTGTGCAAATTTAATGTTGATTTGATACATTTATATATTATGATTAATTATGATTAATTATGATTGTAGCAACAGTTATTGTAGCAATAGTTACCACCTCTCTCATGTCATGTAATTATCATTTCTTTTCTGTGGTGTGAATAATGAAGATCAAGCCTCTTAGCAGGTTTGGTGATTAGAATACAATATTGTTGTCTATATTCATGAAACTATACCTTAGATCTCCAGGATTTATTTACTAGTTGTGAGTTTGTACCTTTAAACAACATCTCTCCCACTTCCCCAACCCCCAGCTCCTGGTAACCAGTATTTAATTTTAAATTAATCTGAATAGGCAAATATTTTACAACCCAGAGGATGACTGAGGGTTTGTTTCATGCTGGGTCACCTGACTCTGGTTTGGTTCGCACTGATCCTGATCTCATGGACTATTGAGTATTTACCTAGAAAACCCCAATCACTCCAAGCAAACCATGAATTTTGTGGTTTCCTTGAAGATTTTCAGGGTGAAAAGAAGTTTTATATCACCTAACTTACAACAGTATAATTGGGGAAAAAAATTCTCTATTAGTGATGTCATTTCGCAAGACCTTTTGCTAGGTCCTTGGTGTCCAAATGAGCCTTCTGTTCTGCTGTTTTTCTCTTACTGTGGGCCTGTGCTCATCCAAGCCTTTTTGAACAAAGCAAGTCTTCATCATACAAGGAAATTTTCCTAAAAGTGGCCAAGAAAATGAGATTTTTTTTCTCCGTGGATTTATAGTCTGCAAGGACAAACCAGCATTTTTTCTCTCTCTCTTTTGTCTGCTCAATCCCTGTCCCTACTGGCGTGACATTTATTTTTTTTTTTTTACACACATTTTAAAGTTTTTATTTATTCTTTTTATTCTTGACATGCTGTAATCCGGGGAGGCCAGAATGGATGTGAAATCTTCCCATGTGCCTCCTGAAACCCTTGTACCCTGACGGCCTGGCCCCACTGCTCGTCTTGGTTGTGCTCTTTCCAAATTCAACCTGTTCTCTGCTCTCTTGTTTTCAAACTATGTTCCCACCTCAGTTAATGGGGCAATTGAACTCAGGTTGTACAGACAGTCTAGACTGAGGACTGTCTGGGAAGGAAGCAGAAGTGAGGGAGAGAAGATACCCAGCCCTATGGAGGCTTTGGTCCCCCTGCCTTTGAATGGACACATTAGTGTCTCTGCAGGGCCAAACTGCACAAGATCTAAAATGATTCCAAGGGTGGAAAAACATTGCAAAAACGGACCACACTGTTTCAGATGTGAGGGATCTGGCTGCTTTATCTAAACCCAGAGACAAACCCAAGACATCACCAATGGGAGGATGACTAAGGGAATATCACAATGCAAACTACTCCGAAGAGGTCAGTTGGGAAGTAGCCCCCTAACCAAGCCCTGCGACCCTCCCCCCTCTCCAATCTAGTCCCTGTCCCAGAACTCCCTGGGCAATTCATGTGTGATACCCAGCAGGTATCCTCCCCAAACCCGGTGCAGACCCATGGCCAGCAGCTCAGTCCACGCCTATGCTGCTGTAAAGTTGTCCCATATCATGAATACCCACTTGGTGGAGGGGTTTCTGCTCCCTTCCCTGCATCATCCCGCCAGCACCATATATTGATTCCTTATGCCTCAGTGAAAGATACTGAATGGAGGAAGTTTCCAGAGTCCAAACACCTCTCAGAGTTTTCCTCTGCTGGCCGCATGTCTCCATTCAGCTCCTGAAGAAATGCCAAGAGGTGCAAAGCCACGGAATCAGTTCCGTTTTTAGAAAGCCTGGTACAGGCAATTTTCTGCAGCTTATTTTTCATCTTTTCTTTCTCCTTTGATTCCTGGTTGATTTTCATGCCCTGTATGAAATGGTGGATGGCCTTGTCTTCGCACTTCATCTGGTACAGCTGGAAGTTGCCGTAGCGCAGGTGGAGCACTTGTCTGGCTCCTGGAGAAAGCTCTTTGCTGAATTCTTTCTGGAAGTAATGCTCCGCGGCATCATACTTACCTGCCTGGGCGTAGAGACAGGCCAGGTAGGAGCAGACACAGGGGAGCTCTGCACTGGCCTCATCCACTCTTTTTAAATGATACACAGCTTGTTCTATGGTTTCCTGTAACTTTGCCCTTTGGCCGCTCATCTCATTCCTTCCTGGGTCCTGGAGCATCTCGAGGACTTTGGTCCTGTAGAGGCAGCCAATTCGCCAGTGCAGGATGGTGCTGTCCGGAGAACCTTCCAGGGTCTTTCTCAGCAGCTCTGCAGCTTGGCCCAGGGCCCCTTTCCTCTGATACAGCTTTGCTGCTTGGCAGAGCACATCTGTCGCCCCCGGGGCTCCTTTCAGCGCCTCCTCCACGAGTCTGTCTGCTTCCTCTTCCTCCTTCATCTTCTGAAGCTTCAGCGCCAAGAGGACTTTCGCATACTGGTTGTCAGGATTCAGCCGGATGGCCCGCCGCAGAGGGTCTATGGGATTCTGAGGCTGCGGCCAGGTGTCCAGACGGTAGCTGGCGATGGCCAGTCCCAAGGCAAAATCCGGGTTCTTGGGCTCCTTTTCCAGAGCCTTCTTAAAGCATACCTTGGCCCTCTCGTTGTGCCTCCCTCCACACTGCAGCCGGGCCCACCCCTCCTCAAAGTCCAGCTCTGGGCTTTCCATTCTGTAGGGGCTGCGAGCCTCCGCGCAGACTCGTCTCACCTTGTCCACATACATCTGCGCGTCTGCATGTCTGCCCAGGTGGTAGGAGACCCAGGCGAAGTTGCCCCAGGTGACCAGACTTCGGATGTCCGCTTGCTCCTGGTGCTCCCGCCGGATCAGCTCCTCCGCCCGCCGCAGGCACTCCAGCGCCGCCTCTCCGCGGCCTCTGCTGTGCTCAATGTAGGCCTGGATGTTGAACACCGTCGCTCTGAACTCGTTGTTCTGAAACTCCGTGGCGTTACACACCTCGTCTTCAAACTCATCCAGCGACTCTCCTCCCTGCACCAAGTTCCAGTTGAAATGGCATTTCAGCTGCAGTAAGCAGCTCTCCAGGGCGGTCATGGTGCTCTCGCTGGAGGGCAAAACAGAAAGATGCAGGCTGTCAGACAGGGCATGGGTTCTCCCGGGGAGCAGAGCAAGTGCAATTCTCTTCCTACTCCTTCTCCTCCTCGACAGTGTTCACTTCAACCAGAAGAGAACAGTATTTCCTTTTCATTTCTTTCTATATTTTGGCATCTACATTAAGTGCACAGGGACACAGGGGTTGGGTGATGGTGGGGGGCAGAAGGATTAGAGAAAGGGTTGGGGTGGGATTTGGAGGCCCGGGAGCTACGTTTCCCTGAACAGGGCGGTTTGTGAGGGTCGGGCTGGCTCTCTGCTGTCTGCCGTGAGGGCCTGTGCAGGCGCAGCACGTCTTGGGGGACAGATTTCAGTGGAGGATTGACTTTGTGTCGCTTTGGTTTTCTGTTTTAAAGATTTTATGAGAAAAAGACATAGAGATAGCATGGGCAGGAGAGGGGCAGAGGGAGAGAGAGGGAGAAGCAGACTCCCTGCTGAGTGCAGAACCCAAGGACTTGGGGCTGGGGCTCCATCCCAGGACCTGGAGATCATGACCTGAGCCACAGTCAGACACTGTACCGACTGAGCCACCTAGGCACCCCTGACTTGACACAGTTTTTAAGAAGAAAGCCTATTTGATTGCTTTATGCTCCTGTTCTTCATCTTACCCAGCATTTGCTTTCCTGGTTTGAAAATTTTAGCTTTAGAATTGTCTATTCTGTTCCTGTCTTGCCAGCTTGATTTTAATCTCATTATCCCTCTGAAATTCAACCACATTTGTCTCCTGTATTTTCAGTTTCTTAGTTCCCCTTAATCTGTCCTTTTGTCCTTATTACTTTACATTTCTTGTCTTATTATTTGAGCTTTTCATATATCCTTAACTGACTTTCTGTGGTTATCCAAATTTTTTTTAATCCAATTGGTTTTGTCTTGTCTTTTTATTAATTTGGCATTCTCTGTTCTCCATTTTTTTTAAAAGATTTATTTATTAGACAGAGATCACAAGTAGGCAGAGAGGCAGGCAGAGAGCGGGGGAAGCAGGCTCCCTGCTGAGCAGAGAGCCCAATGCGGGGCTTGATCCCAAGACCCTGAGATCGTGAGCTGAGCCGAAGGCGGAGGCTTAACCCACGGAGCCACCCAGGTGCTCCTCTCTGTTCTCCTTTTATCTGAACTTTTCCATTTTGATCTTTTAAATCATATTTCAACAATTCTAAATGCTTACTTATATACTCTGCTTTTATATTATTCTACTGCTTAAGTTTATTATCATCATATATGTTAGCAATGTTTTAAACTTTTATTTTGGAACAAAATATAATCTTTTTTTTTCTCCTCTCCACCCCACCGCTATTTCTTAGACTGGTGATTTCTGTTTTTAACATTTCTCATTGTGCTGGTCTATTAAAACTTCTGCATTTTGTTGCTATAATTATCTTTTGAAATTTTATTTTTCCTCTCCTGTGGTTTGCTTTCACGCAGGGTGTTGGAATTGAAGCTATAGGAGGAGGCTCACACTAGCTTCTTTTCTTATGGGAAATGCTCTTTTTCCCTTAAGGTACTCTTCTGGGAAGATTTCCCATTCCCTTCAACGTTGGTTCTTAAAAATCAAATCAAATCAAATAACAAATAAGGAAAACTCACCACACAGAAACCTTATTTTGAATAACTTTAGAGATGAGAAGGTTAAAAATCATTAACTGCCCCAGATAATTTCTCTGCATTGCCTACATATTGGAGTCCCTGAAGTGTTGTTTTTCTCACTTCAAAACATTTTTTCATGGTGTATATTAATTAGCCCTTTTATCAGGAGCTGATATTCTAACTATTATGGATTCTGACATAGGCAAGCAGTAGATATATGGAAAGTTATGTAATGTGGCAAAGACCATGTTTGAAATGCTTGTCCAAATGAAAGATTATATTCCCCCACTTTCTTCCTGCCCCTTAGCTTTCACTTTTTAGGACCCCCCCCCCACCACCAATTTGATGATTAGATCAGAGCTGAGCACCTAAACTCAAGTGGAAGCTGGGTACGGGGGAAGGGGGTGAGGAGTCAGGTGTCTGGACTTAGGAGGAGCACCGTGCGTGCTGGAGGGCTCTCAGGGGCCGTGGTCTGCAGTGTGGACAGCAGAGAGTGTGACCCAGATGCATACGGAGCAGACGCAGAGTCTGGGTCCCTGAAGCTCTCCATTGTCCTGTTCTGGCCTGCCTGGTGTTGCTCTAGTCCTGTGTGTGGGTCCCGTGAGCCATTCTGGGAACCTTGAATCATTTCCTGTTCATTTCTTACTTGAATTGGATGGAAACTTAACCCCAAGTAGAATAAACAGAAGAGAGGAAGGAAAATGAGTAGGAGTTTTTGCCGGGGGAAGGACCCTCTGTCTATTCAAAGTCCTAGACAGGTCTCAGTGAGGAGCCTGGTTGTCTGAGCCTCTTGATGCAATATGGAGGGTGGGATGGGGGGTGGGTGTGTGTATGTGCGCCCGGGAGAGTGCCTGGAGTGATATCTGGCATTGTAATGACAGCAGCCTCCCCTTGAAAAGTTCGTGTCCAAATGGATCTGTTTTCCTTCTCGGTAAGGTTGCATAAGCTTAGCAATTAGCTTTTTAGCAACTTTCTCATTTAATGTTTTATAAAGATTTATTGATTTATTTGAGAGAGTGTGCAAGTGTGGGGGAGTGGTAGAGGGTGAGGGAGAGAGTGAATCTCAAGCAGACTCCATGTAGCGTGTGGAGCCCAACATGGGTCTCAATCTCATGACCCTGAGATCATGACCTGAGCCAAAATCAAGAGTTGGACACTTAACTGACTGAGCTGCCCAGGCTCCCTGCAATGTCCTCATTTTATAAAAGAAGCAGAGAGAATGAATCCAGTTGAAATTATCTCCAGCATATAAAGCACATAGACAGTTGTGTATTTGTAGGATAGAGGCATTTACTAGACACACTTAGGTAGAATCCCTCTGAGCAGCCATTCGAAAGCATCCAATTTCACTGTGTGATTACGGGTTTTTGTTTCCACCAGTAATTCAGAAGCTGGTTCCAGACACTTGCTTCCTGGACTCAGACTTCTGAGACCTATGCACCTGATGACTCTAGAAGTTTACACACAGCAGTGTGTTGCCCTGCTTCTTGTTAGCAGAAAAGCCACAGTGACACCATTCCCCAGGCTCAGAGCTAATGCTGCTGCCAGTATCTTCGGGCATTACTGGCATCAGTGAGGAGCCTGTTGGAAATGCACATCCTTGGACCTCAATTAAGGATTACCAAATCAGAATCTGCAATGGGGGGGGTTGTCTTTAGCAAGCCCTCCAGGTAGATCTTATGCATGCTCAGATTTGAGAATGACTGTCTTAGAGCACAGGGCCAATGCCTGGTGACAGTGCCTATAGCTAAGGGATCAAAGAAAATTAGAAAAGAGTTGGGTGGGTCTGTGTTATTAATGGAGAGATTCTAAGACTAAAGTTCTAAGGAATAGGAACAAGGTTTCTAAATATTCTGAGTCACCCTAGAAATAGATATCTGGAAATATATCAGATCTTTTTCTTATCAGGCAGACATAGAGAGTAGCAGAAAATGTATCGCTTCAAGAAGAGATATCAGGAAGCTTACAGAAGGAGGGCAATGTGTCCTCTAGGAAGTGAGAGCTAGGGCTGGTGTTCCCAGTTGTTGGAGCTCCCAGGACTGAGCCTGAGGTGTCTAGCCTGGCCACACCCTCACACTGGAGAAAACAAAATTTCCCTTCCTACCCTGCCTCCTCCCAGGGAAATCTTATGTGTCTGGGGTGTAAGAGCATTTTAGAGTTGGGAGCTGTTTTCTCCAAGCACCCCACCTCCAATTCATACTTCAGAGAGAAGGACTCTAGCCAATCAGTAGCATTTTGGGTTAAAATATATTTCTGTTGAAAGAATGGATAAAATATATTTCTGTTGAAAAAAAGGGATACATTTTACCAGCCCTGATGCAAATATGAGATGAATGAATATATTTAAAGTAAAATCCACCTTAGCATGAGCTGGGGTTGCTACCTGGAGTACATTCTAACCCTATCTACTAAAAACAGAGCCTTTGTTAAATAAGAATCTTATTAAAAGCCCCTTGCTTCATCCTTTCAAATAAGAAACAAAAGGGACAGTCTACAGGAGCCACCCCCTGCCCCAGATCCAATTTTAAATGAAGCACCTGCTGGTAAACATCTCTCCCTCTGCCATTCTTCCTCCCTCCCTCCTCTGGACACGAGAGATGCCCTGAGGAAGCTGGACAATGTGGGGCAGAACATCACAGAAATAAACAAGCCGGCAATGGGAAGACAAAGCCACGACCTACAGAGCAGTCACGGCAAGGCTACAAACAGACACTAAAGCAAAAGAAGTCAGGAACTTGTGTTTTCAGAGCACGGCCGTGTGGGATTTGCATTCCACAGCAAGAGTGATTGGACATTTTCAACACGATCAGGGCAGAATATTTACCTCATGTTTGCGGAGCGCTTCTCAGCGGTTCTGGAAGGCTGTAGCTCAGGCTGCTGTGCTCTTCAGAGATCTTCCTGCTCTGTCTTCCAGAGATGCTAGGGAGACGTATATATGAGGGCATTTCTTGGTTCCTTTGCTGTGTTTTCCTGCGGTTTGCTTTAGGAAAAAGAAACTGAAACTGGAAAGTACAATCAGCAGTGCTCTAAGAAGAAATTAATCTTGAGTAAGAGCTGCGCCTGTAGCACCCCCATCCCCCACCCTGTGGTGAGTCAGAACTTCCTCTTTGTGACCATAGTGACAGCCTAGATCAGCTGACATAAAGGGAGCCCAGCTTGGAGAGGGGCACAGGTACCAAGCACCAAGTACCCTGCCTCTTGACCACAATGTTAACCCATCCTCGTTCTGCCTGCCCTTATCACCAGCATGGTCTGCAGGCCCCAGTGAGGGATGCTCTTTTTTTTTTTTTTTTAAGATTTTATTTATTTATTTATTTGACACAGAGAGAGAGAGAGAGAGAGAGACAGAGAGAGAGACAGAGAGAGAGGGAACATAAACAGGGGGAGTGGGAGAAGGAGAAGTGGGCCTCCCGCTGAGCCAGGAGCCCTGTGTGGGACTCAATCCCAGGACCCTGGGACCATGACCCAAGGCGAAGGCTGACACTTAACAACTGAGCCACCGAGGCACCCCTGCCAAACAGCTCCTAACACCTGTACACATTCTGGGCCTCCCCGAGCGCCGCAACATTTAAAGTCCCTTGATTCACCCTGGTGTCCCGCACTCCCACATCACAATTTGCAACCACGGCGGTTTGCTGTGATGGAGGAAATGTACTTTCTTTGCTTTTTCCTTATTCATACCCCTGATCTCAGAGGGGTGACAGTGTGTGTGGACCCAAGAGGAAAAGAGATAACAGCACTAGGAATCTTTGGTGTCTGGAAATTACACAGAGCACGAGTGAAACCTGTTCTCCAGGACCACTGAGTACAGCTGAGGCACGTTAGTTCAGTCTTGGAGAGAGCCTTCTGGATGTCTGTTTGTGTCTGTGAGCAGCAGGGTGGAAGTAGGAGCTATGCTTCTTGACAATTCTCTACCCTTTGATTGGGACACAGAGTCGAGCCTATCCCTATTGGAAACGCTTACTTTTGGATATCATTCAGGAGTTATAAGTTCTAGTATATATTTATAGAAATGGATGTTAGGGGCACCTAGGTGGTTCGGTCAGTTAAGCATCTGCATTCAGCTTGGGTCATGACCTCAGGGTTCTGGGATGGAGCCCTGTATTGGGCTCCCCATTCAGTGGGGGAATCTGCTTGTCCCTCTACCCCTTCCCTTGCTCATGCTCTCTCTCTCTCTCTCAAATAAAAAAAATAAATAAAGTCTTTTAAAAAATGTATGTTAGTTGTACAAGAAATGCTGCAGAAGGAAACTAGGAACACGGTGGGATTTTTTGGTGTCGTATGTTTTGAATTTGCATTCAAGAAAACAACCGGATAGAAATGTTTAAATCTCATTATGAAGGTACCAGGTGGGGAGAAGCACAGGGAAAGCAAGTGCTAGCTGGTTAATGTTAGAAGACGCAGTGGGAATGCAGAATAGAAACTGGAAAGGAAAACCAGCTCTTTTCTGGTAATATGTCAATGATGAGAAAAGTGAAACTGACTCAGCGAGTGTTCTGATTACTCAGGCTGTTACAACTATGTATGTGTCTACTGAGTGGTTACATCAACTAGGAAGTGGTATAATGCACTAGGCCCATGCTGCCATCAACCCCAAGAAATTTCAGGTCCACCTGGGGACCTGCCACAAATGCAAATTGTCAGGCTCCATCCTCCATCAAATGCAGCAGAAATTCTAGGAGTGGGGCCAAGGAATCTCTGTGTTAGGAAACTTCTCAAATAATCCTAATACATGCTATCAAGTCTGAGAACCACATAATATTTTGACTGTAAGTAAAAATTTTAATTCCATAAAACAAAACCCTATAGGTTTTTCTTGAGATTTATGGGGAGAGAATGGCCCTCTCTTTTGTTCTCTGTCTCTGTAGAGAATGTCTGACGTAAGTTTTGTCTGCCTAGAAGGGTTGGTGGCTAGTTCACTACTATTCACACTGGCTAGAGGACTCTTCATACCCTAAACATCCATAATGTGCCCTTCTTGCTTAACACAGAACGTACTCAGGACTTTCCCAATAGAGTCCACCCAGAATCAAGGCAACCATCTTTCCCAGCTATGCTCAGGGAACTCTCAGAGATCCCCGGTTCCCCTCTATGGACAGGGTGTGACTTCCTGTGGTCTGGTGAGAAAAAACCTAAAAGACTAGATAAGATTAGATAACTCCTACAGACCCGATGGGGCACGAGAACCAAAGGAAACATCCCAGTTGAAGAAAGGAAACATGGAGGAAGTTCAAAGATCTCAAGTCAGTAGAAATGACCAGCCTCTGTTGGATAGGCATTTGGGAGACCAAGATTCTGCTCTCTGATGAGAACCTTGCCATCATTCTCCATATCCCTGGCCCCACCCCCTGGGAGGCTCTTTGGGACATTAATTCTTGTGTTCCCACATCTCTGCCACGAGCTGGGGTTTATGTTCACCTTCTGGGCCCCAGAGACTCCTGTGCTCACACAGAACCTTTGGTGATAATACCCTTCGATGGAGAGGTTATTCAATGAAGCAATGCCTTCGAAGAATGCCTCAAATATTTGTCAGTGTCTGATTCTGAGAATAAAGAGTTTTAAAAGTTGATGATCATGGAAGCATTGGTAAGTAAAAGAGAGATGAAAAAGGCCACATAAAGATACAAGGGACAGCAGAGGAAATGTGTGGAAGTGCATCTCTGCACGTGTACGGACTTCTGGTTCTCTTTGAATTAGCAACAGGAGCTTTTCCACCTCTCTCCCCAACTGTTCCACCAGCTCTCTGGAAGAAAGCCATGGCTACTTCAGTTTCCGACCAGACTTTGCCCGTTCCTTGGGGCTCCTCTTGCACTCGGTAAAGGGCTACAGGCAGGGATCCCCATAACATGCAAGGCCAAGAAATGCCGACTAAGATCACCCCTCAATGTCAGGGCAGGGAAATATCACCGTGAACTTTGTGGAGTTTATGATCTGAAGGCAAGGTTAAACTTTCATCCATCTAATGACCGGGGGTTGGGGGGGCGGGGATCCCTGCAACCTGGAAGCACACAGGATGATGAAGCTCTTCCCTCTTCATCGGGAAATGAGACAACTACAGGGCGTGTGCCATCAGCAGAAGCACAATATTGGAGCATGAACTTAAAGAGTTGTGCCCTTCGTCTTGGTGCATTCTCATTCATCAAATTCCTTGATGCCTTTGGGAGCTCAAGAGAAGTTTGTTGCACAAAAAGTAAATTCCTGAACACGGATGGTGGGACAGATGAAGAGAGGTCAGAGCAAAGGTCAGAGAAAGATCCTTGACTTTCAAGGATCAGTTGTGGTGGACACCATTATGGACTAGCGAAGAGAGTAGAGGACACACTGTATATGTTAGGGGTGGGGTGAGTGGGTGAGTAGTGGCATGTAAGATGAAGGCATGAAGAAAGACCTGGAATCTAGAGACTTGTTGATTAGGTGCAGAGATCTTCAAATGTTTATTAGTGTGGGTTGGACCCAGCAAGAACCAGTTGCAGAATGGACACCAGTGGGGTGGGCACGGCACTCTTGCGTCACCGTCTTTTGTTTTGAATTTGTTTTGTTGCTTACTTTATTTGACAATGTGATATATGCTCTGGGTATCAAATTCAAAATTAAAAATTCTATACAGTTGAAATAGATAAGTCTTCCTTCCATATAGACTCCCAGCCAACCCATTTCTTCTCTGCAGACTACCCTAGAGGAGCTACGTCCTTTTCACAAATATTCTGCAAATAATGTGATAGGCTTTTTTTCCTCCTCCTACCCTTCCTTCCTTCCTTTGAACAGTGTTAGCATGTCTTATACACTCTTCTGCACTTAAAAATTTTTTTTTATCTATATCTCAGAGATAGTGTTCTGTATTTTTATAGTTAGAACGGCCTTTTTTTTTTTACATTAGCTGCATGCTGTTCTCAGCATGAAATATGAAAATTGAGTTAATGAGTCCCCTAGCGATGGACATTTGAGTTGTTGTCAGTCCTTTGTTATTATAAGCAAAACTTCATGAGTATCTTTATACATGTCTTTGCATGCATATGCAAATACAGGATAGATTAATGAGTGGAATTGCTGGGACAAAGATTCACAAATGTTTACCTGCCATCAACAAATGCCCTCCATCTACAGGATTTATAATCTCAATGGCGATGTGTGATAGAGCCTATTCACCCACATCCTTGTTTAGGACCTTTTTCCGAAAAGTGAGATGACCTCTCTTAATAGTGTTGGTTTGCTTTCTCTTCCTAAGAGCGACATTGAGAATCATTTCCCCTTTTTAAGCCATTTTGATTTCCTGACCTTTGCCCATTTGTCCGGAGGAACTGTTTCAGCATTAAGGAAGTTAATCCGTTATCTGGTAACGTACCGAAACAGTATTTTTAAGTCTGTCATTGATCTTTTGACTTTCCAGAGGGCCCTCTTCTATGAAACGTGTTTCATAGTGTGGTTGAATTCCAGAATTCATAGTGTGGTTGAATTCATAGTGTGGTTGACTTTTCAGAGGGCCCTCTTCTATGAAATGTGTTTCATAGTGTGGTTGAATTCCTTAATACTTTTGCCCTTTTGTGTTTTGTTTCATACTTACAGCTTCCAGACTGTGTGATCTGAAAAATCCTCTCAAGAATTCCTCTAGAAATGTTGTGATTTCTGTTTCTGAAACATTTAAATCTTTGGTTTGTATGGAATTCATTTGGGAGTGTGAGGAGCAAGGAAGGAGGACCAGGCCCCAGTGCTGCTGTCTTCCCTTGTTCCCGTAAGCAGTGTTGAGTACCCACTGTGTCCCAGGCCAAGGGCAAGGCGTGGGGCGAGAGCTGGGTGGTACAGAGTCCCAAGGTCCCAAAGCAAGTGCTTGCCCTCAAAGGAGATTTTGCTCAAAATATCTGTAGGACAGAGGAAAAAATGATTCTGCATTTCCAGGTCTGGCTGAGAGAATTTTGGGGAACCCAGAAAAAGAGACAACAACATGAGAAGCCCAGCCATCTGGCCCATCTCCTGCTAGTTGTGGTTTC